TTTTGCATATCCCAGGAACAGTATCAGTGTGACAGCTTGAGAACTACTTGAAATAAGACTATTGATTTTTTCTTATTTCTATGGTTCCCAGAGTTTTCTGAATTTTGGGGCATTTAGAGCCAGAGGCATTGTCCTATAATTGAGTATCTGAGAGTGATATGGAGCTATATTGTGGTGGAATGTTTGGCTGAAAAACTCCCATATGCTATTTAGGAAGCATGGTGGTTCTATATTTTGCTTTTTCTGCAACCTGCTGTGGATTAGTAATCAGGAGGGCTTTGAGAGTAAAATAAATGCCATACCGACTTCTTAGGATTCCAGGGGAAATAAGATTAGAAAAGGAAAGACTGTCAGATCCTATTAGAAAACTAGATTAGAAAAGAATATCCAATCCCATTACCTAAATAACTTTATATACAGAACAGCCTACCGTAAATGTTATATACAGAAAAAACTGAAGTAGTTAATTCTTTTTTATTAATAACACCATTAGTAAATCTAACTGTACTATAGATTTTATACCACTTCATTCTTATCAAAAATGAAATGCCTTCATGGGTATTACCTTAATGAAGGTATTGGTCTAGAGGAGCAGTAATGTGGATAATAGTGCTTTCCTCCCTTATCAGATGGCTCTGTGAGGCTCAAAAACACCAAGTTTATATATTAAATAATCAGTAACAGAAAGCAGTTTCAATCATTTGTGTAAACTTATATTCAATATTGTTGAATGCCTCTTTTGGCAGTGTGAACTTTGCTACAGAGAAAAGGATCATTGGGTTGTCCAAATTATTAGCTCCTTGCTGTTGAGATCTTATTGAGCATTTACCATGAACCAGGCTCTGAATCTCTTAAACTGGTGCTCCATCCAGGTGGAATGAATGAATGAGCTAATATTTTTCTTCCTACATTTTGATGCTTGCCTACTTTTCTTTAGAGTCATCTCAAATTCCTTTTTAGGTCATCTTTTCCTTAACACAGCCTGGACTGTGATCACTGCATTTATTACAACTAGGCTTCTTTCCATAGAATATAGAAACCCAAAATAACAGTGACTTGTACAGAATAGAAATATTTTTTTTTTCATTTTTTCATTCCCACCACCTAGTTCAGGGCTTGACACATATTACTTGAAATAATAAATGCATTACCTTGCCTGATTAAGCTGCCACTGAGACAACAGATTTTAGCCTATGAAACAAGCACCAGCTGGGTTTGGGGAACTGGTATGCTGATAACAAAGTAGGATTTCTTAAAGCATACTCCGTGGACCACCTGTGGTAGAATAACTTGCTTGTAAAATGTAGATTGCCATGCCTCATGCCAATGGATATAATTTGAAAGGTGTAGGATGGGGTCCAGAAATTTTCATGTCTTATAAATTCCTCTGGGTTATCTGACAACCACTGGGAGGGAGGGAAGGAAGGGAGGAAGGGAGGGGAGGGGAAGGGAGGGAACTGATTTGCAGTCTCACAACCTTTTAATAAATTCCCAAAGTAGTGGCAGGGGCTCTATTTCCAGTCCTGGCTCCTGAACTCATGGTAGGACCTATGGCTTCTAGGATAGTTCTCCAGAATTAAGGCCAAGATTAGGAAACAGCTTAAAATTTTTTCACTCGCATAAGATAAGATTTTAGGCAGGTAGTGAAGTGTGGGAATGGAGGAAGATGCATGAAGTCGTCAGCAACGCAGCTTCTTTACTCTGATGCCCTTGTTCTTATGATTCAAGATGGCTGCCAGAATTTCATTCAATGAATCTATCAATTCTTTTTTTTTTTTTTCTGAGAGGAAGTCTCACTCTGTTGCCCAGGATGGAGTGCAGTGGGACAGTCTCAGCTCACTGCAACCTCAGCCTCCCAGGTTCAGGCAATTCTTCTGTCTTGGCCTCCTGAGTAGCTGGGATTACAGGTGCTCACCACCACGCTCGGCTAATTTTTGTATTTTTAGTAGAGACAGGTTTCACCATGTTGGTCAGGCTGGTCTCGAACTCCTGACCTTGTGATCTGCCCGCCAAGAAGGAGGAAGGCAGGAAGATGGCAGGAAGGAGGAAGGGAAGAAGTAGAAGACAAATCCCCCTTTATTTTAAGGAGAGTTTCTAGAGGTGACATAGAAAGCTATATACTTCTCTTTGACCAGAACTTAGCCTTATGACCACATTTTCCACAAGGATATCTGGAATATGATTTTTTTTCTTACCTGGCCCAGTAAACAAACAAAAAACCCCTCAGGATTCTCTTACGAAACAAGAGGCCACTACTGGTCTTCACCATAATCATTCATTCTAAAGCTGCCCAAATATACATCCTGGATTCCCTTTACCTCTTGGCAAGTGATTTTGTCAATTCTCAAAAACAGCTATCATCACCATCCTATCTGTTTACACCTACCCCTGTGTCTACTCCTAATAATTAGTAGGAAAATTGCAAAAATTATAGACAGATATGATTTCGTATAACCTTTTAGTTAATTCCAATTAGATTTCTATTTTTAAAATTGTGGATTGTCATGTCCTGTAATTATTTTTTAACAGCAGTTGTTTTAAAAATGTTCCATATTCCACTTTATTCCCTATTCTCCCCTCTTACTTTATTTTACCTTGTTTTAAATAGGGTTAGGTGCAGGCTGGATGTGGTGGCTCACGCCTGTAATCCCAGAGCTATGGGAGGCCGAAGCAGGTGGATGGGGGTCAGGAGTTTGAGACCAGCCTGGCTAACATGGCAAAACCTTATCTCTACTAAAAATACAAAAATTAGCCGGGCATGGTGGTGAGCGCCTACTTGGGAGTCTGAGGCAGGAGAATCACTAAAAGAGTGAAACTCCATCTCTAAATAAATAAATAGAGGCAGGTGCAGTGGCTTACGCCTGCAATCCCAGCACTTTGGGTGGTGGAGGATTGCTTGATACTGGGAGTTGGAGACTGCTCCTTAGAAAAAATAAAAATATTAGCTGGGCATGGCGGTATGAACCTGTAGTCTCAGCTACTGAGGAGGCTGAGGTGGGAGGATCACCTGTGCCCAGGAGTTTGAGGCTGCAGTGAACTATGATTGTACCACTGTACTCTAGCCTGGGTGCCAGAGCAAGACCCTATCTCTTAAAAAAAAAAATCAACCTCAATTTTGAGGCACATGATGTGTTCATGTGCATCAATCTCAGCCTCTCTTTTTTCAGTAAGAGATAAGGCTTATAGGTGGTGGGGGGGTGGGAGGGACATGCCATTTCTCTTGACTACTTTTCAAAAGAACAAATGAATAATTTTTCTTCTTCCTCTTACTTCCCTCTGCTATTTAGGATATAAGATTGTTTCCATATTTAAAATATTTTATCTTGACTTTGTCGCATTTCTTTTCCATTTCTCACAGTTAACTTTTTATATTTTAAGGAAAGGTGACTATTCTTCCTTCTTAATCAACTCCTGTTTACTAATTTCTTGGTCACTTCACTATCTTGCGTCTCCCTCTATGAATGTTCAGATTTTTCTTGGAGATCCCCATCTCCTTGGCCTCTTGTTCAATCTCCTTGACATTTCTGTAGCATACTGTGTTATTGACTGCATGTTCTTGGAAATACCTTCTTATCCTTCTACCTTTATAGATTTTCCTTCTATATTTTCTCTGTTGACCCCTTTCAGCTCTGTTAACGGTGAGGAAAACACAGTGTCTTTGCCTTCAGCTTGATTCTTCTCCCCGCCTTCCCCAGCTTTGTGCAATATCCCAGTGGCTTGCCTGCTCTTTTACCTTCAGCTATTATCTCTGTATGGATTCCCAAATTATATAAATTGTGTAGAGGAATTTTGTTGTGTTATCTTAAACATTATGTTTACAATTACTGATGTTAGTATTAATGTCCTGCCATCACATTATTAGGGCATTGCTTCTGAAACTATTCATTGGAGTAACCCTAATGGATAGGAAGAGCAGCTTCTGGTGGGCTGTTTTGCTTGTCTAGAAAGCCCTATCCTTTATTTGCACCTGTTTTCTCTTTGTAAGATCAAGTTCAAAAATCTACATTTGCCAAAAATCTGGATGACACCAGACATCATTGATTTTCTGGACTTTGAATTCCTGCCATACTCATTTATCTGTTTATCTGGCACTCCTCCTGTGTTTCTGTTATATTGTATTTTGAATAAATCATCTTTATTGTAAGTGTCTCATCTAACAGATAACTTGTAATCTTGTCCCTCTTTGTACTCCCAGTGCCTGGTATATAATTGGCACTTAATAATATTTGCTATGGATGATGGCACACCCTTTTTATTTAATTATGTTCCATTTCTAATAGTGAAATTGCTTAAAAATTTTTTTGTTAAACATTTTATTTTCCACAAATAAAATGGAGGGTGCTTGGACTGAACTGAATGACATTTTTTCAATACCTGATTGCACTTGGCTTGGCACTATTTTAAGTACATTGTAAAAGATATGGAATGATTGACTGAAAAGTAACTTTTCTTCATCTTTGTCTTTGGATTATCATGGAAAAAACTGGAATAAGAAAACCATGAGAAGACCTAGTAGGATCTGTGAAAGCACACAGGGTTTTCCTTTGGAAAGTTAAAGATAGGGGAAGGAAAGAGAGAAAAAGAATATGAATGAATGTGAAAATACATCCCTACTGGACCCATACCATGTGGTAAATAAGGTCAGGATGATATAAAACCGGCCAGATAGAAGGATAGTTGTGTCAAAGTAGTGGATATATTAGCAGGATGAGAATTCATATCAAGAACATTTGTGCTCCTCACCTACCACAAAAAGTTACACAGTTGTTTCTATGATAAATTGTTCAACGATATGGTAATGTGACAGATGTACTCAGTAAAGTAGGACCTGTTAATATATGATGTCTTTTAAAGTTATGGGAAATTCACTGTGATTGGACCTAGCTCCGTGTATACTGAAAATCTAGACTAGTAGGGTATGATTTTAGACTCATATAAGGGGAATAAAAGACTCAGTTCACTTATTTATTTTATTTTCCTTTTTTTTTTTGTTTTTCTAGGGAGTTTGAAGTACTGCCTTGTAATTCTTAATCAGCCTTTGGACAACTATTTTCGTCATCTTTGGAACAAAGGTAATCTTAATTAACATTTCTATTTCTTTGCTTTCTTACTTTATTTGGGGCTGACTGAATATCCTGAAACCTGACTAAAAGTGGAATTCATAATATGATGATTCAATTATTAATTATTAGAATAAATTATCATTGATTCCCTGTTAAACTGTTTAAATGTGATTTCCAAAGCGTGGACCCCCAAGGACAGAATACTCTACCATATTTCAGAACTATAGTGTGGATATTAAGCCTGAATCCTCAAAAAGTGTTTGTTCAAGTGTAAATTATTTTTGGCACCAGTGACAGCAGAAAAGCATCCACATGCCTCATTTGTTGCAGCATCCAATGATAAGATATCTGCAGGGTGATCAGATTTGCAAAATCAAAAAAGAAAATGATGCTACTATGTAAGAATCTCTTGGGGTGCTGAAAAATATGGTTAAAAATGGGATAGTGTCACAGAATAAATACCATTGGAAGGTTCTGTGTAAGAAACAGGCTTTTTTAACTGTTTACATTATTCTTTAACTTTTATAGGATTACCTCTAGGTTGGAGAATAATGTTCAATATCATTTGCTGTTTTGAATCTCTGCTCTTCTTTGATGAAATCTTGAGGGTTTTTTTTTGCCCCACAAAGGAACATTTTTGTTGAGCTGTCAGTAGAAGTTTTAGGCCAAAGTACATAGGCAGAAGAACTTGATTCTTGATGCATTGATGCATATTTTTGTTATTCCTGTTTCTTTCCTTATCGTCACAGAATTATTTAGTATTCTCAACATTATGTTTATGTTTCTTAAAGTGCAAACCTCATATGTGGATAAGCTCACATCTGTAGTTGAGATAGTTGTGGTACTAGAGGGAATAAATCATCACAGGTGATTTTGTATAAAGAACTTTTTTTGTCTAATCTGATTACAGTGAAAACTCTTGGTATTCTAAATTGAGCTGTGTTTAAGTTAGTCAACTTAAAATTTCATGTTATAATTGTACCATCAGTTCTCTCAAACCATAAAAATTATGAAACCACTAACTTTTTTTTCTTAGCACTCCACTAATAATTAGGTAGTTATTTGAATGGCTATAATGTCTTTTGTCACTGTGTCTCTGGTGCCCAGTGTGGTATCTGTCAGGTAGTTGCTATTAATGACAATAAATGAAAGAATGAGTTTAGTATGGCTTATATTGCTAGAAAATACTAAACAAACTGTTTAGGTACATCCTTTCTATTTGAATTTATTGTATCAGATTTTATATTGTTTGGAGAGAGTGTGAGTGACCATTTTATTGTAAACATTAGAAATAGACAAAATAACCATTGATCTGAACTGTTGGAGACCTTGAATATTCAAAGCTACATCTAAAGAAGTCTCTTATGTCTAGGGGAGTTGAGGGTCTTAATTTTGCACATAGTGTGAATGATGTAGATTTTTGAGCTGACCAAACTTCCTCATTTTATTAGTTTTTCCATAAGGGTCAATCTGTACATAAAAAAAAAACTAAAGGTATCTGAAGTATCATGTATACTGAAATAGCTAGTTAATTCTCATTTCAAAAAGAACTTGTCTTTTACGTTATCGAGATGTTAAGTTCTTTCACATATATACTAGGATAATTATTGGTGTTCTGGAGCCTTTAACTATTGTAAGAAGCAGGCCTATTGATAAATACTAAAGAGTAGGCTTTTTTTGATTCTTTTAACAGAAGCTGTGCTTTTTGAGCTTGAGTTGTTAATCTTAACATAGGAAAGGCTTAGGAAAATGTTTAGGGCAGCATTGAGAGTTTGGGAGAGGAGAACAGTATTATGGGTTGGGGTATTAGCAAGTATGAAGTGGCATAGGATGCTGTCCCCATTACCTTTTAACCCATGTACTCAACATTTTCTGTAACTTCTGTTCTATGATACAAATATTTGTGAAGAGCTGAAATCAAGGGATGAAGACCGGGCTGTTAAAATGATTGAAAGCTTCAAAATGCAGAGAAATCTGAAGAGTATTGTATCGTATGTAAGATTCCTGCATAACACTGGCAATTTGACTTTATGCTAAGGACTTCTGTTAAGTAGGTATTTCCTGAGATTCATTTCAAGAGAAAGACTATGTTGAAAGTTTATTTTAAAGTTTCTTCTTGGAATGGTTAGGTGATACTTTTACCAGCGGCGAATCTGTATGGGTCTGCAGCAACTTGATCTTTGCCTGCTCAGGGAAAGAATTCAGCTGAGGGGCAGAAGTAGGTTTAAGGTAGCGGGATAGACTGGGGCAAGTTTTAGAGCTGGGGTAAGAGTTTATTAAAAAGTTTTAGAGCAGGAGTGAAAGGGAGCAAAGTGCACCTGGAAGAGGGCCAAGCGGGCGACTGGAGAGATCCAGGTGCCCTGTTTGGACCTTGACTTGGGGTTTTATGCGTTGCCATAGTTCGGGGGTTTGTGTTTCTTCTCCCCTGATTCTTCCTTTGGGGCAGGCTCTCTGTATGCACAGTACCCAGTGGCCTGCCAGCACTTGGGAGGGGCCACATGCCCAGTGTGTTTACTAAAGTTGTGTGCATGCTCATTTGAGCCATTTTTCCCTTACCAGTCAAGGATTCCTAGGGGAAGGTATATACCAGTTAAACTCCACCATTTTGCCTCTTAGTGTGCATGCTATGAGCCCTCTCGCCCAATTCCAGAGACCTTATAAGGAAGCTGCTGATGACCAGCTCCAGGTGTTTTCTATCTATTGGGAGATTGCCTTTCCCTGGTGCCGGCTGCCACCAATTATTTTAGAGAAACAGTTTAACAACTGCCTGAACATCACCTATGGTCGCCTGACATTCCTAGGGATGGACCCTCTCCTGCCATGCTCATGTCTGCCTAACTACCTACTCTAACAATAGAAGTTACGAAATGTAGCTTAAATGCCTAAGGAGGGAGTTTAAGGGAGATTAAAATTATGGAGGTTTTAATGTGGTTTCTTTGTTATACATCATGAAGTTTGGTGATTTTCTTGGTTAGAAGTCTTGGAGTATATTGCTACCTCTTCCAGCATTTTGTGCATTCGGTTTGATGATAAAATAAGCACTTAGGTAGGTAGGTAGGTAGGTAAATAGAAAGATGGGTAGATAGAAGTAGAGTTAATATCTAACTTTTGTGTAATATCAGAGGTTATTGCTATTTGTGAATCGCTGTTGGTCTTAGATTTACTAACATGTTTTAAAAAAATTTTTTGTCAGGCCTTCTCATTCCAGGAAGTGTCTTTCTCTTCCTGAAATTATGAACATGTGATAAGTCCAAAATAGGGATATGTATGTTAGAAAGGCTCTGCATATTTGTTGTAGGTTAGTTATTCTCTATTGGGGTCATGATGCTACCAGTGTTCTCAAAATTATTAGTAGAAATCTCTGTGCTACAAAACATTATGAAAAACAGACCATACTGGAATGAAGTTATATTGAGTGCTACAACCCCAGTACTACAACCCCAGTGCTACAACCCCAGTACTACAAAACATTATATTGAGTACTACAACCCCAGTGCTACAAAACATTATGAAAAACAGGCATACTGGAATGAGGTTACATTGAGTGACTGTGTATGAGGTTTCTAGGATTTCAGGTCAACACATGTCCTTCATTGTTAGCATGCATTCACAGCCTTTCCTCATTTTTTCCACATGATCCACAGAACATGTTAATTAGATTATGGTTAGATGATCAGATTCTTTCACTGTCATCCTTAAGATCACACCAGGGTATGGGCAGCATACTTATTTTCATTGAAACTGAAGTCAAAATATTTGACATATCAGGTGGGTCTTACAAATTAAAAAAAGGCACAAGTAGCATTCATGAATTAAAGTATAAGCAAGGTCTTTGGTTTTATAACACTAGTTATGTTCTATTTGCTATTGATTGACACTAGTTGAGGCCCTTCTGTGTAAGGCACTAGGCCAGTTGCTAGGGACATGATAGTGGCTAGAATTGAGAGTTGGAGTCTATAGGTACAGCCTGTTCCTGTGAAGGCATGTCCAAGCCACAAGTGTTTAGAATGAACTAGCCATGCCCCTGCTCCTTAAGAATTGATATTATTGTAATAGTTGGTTAATTGACTCTACCTCGTTCATTTCTATATGCTTTTCTTTAAAACAAAAACACTCTACCTAAATAGCTTTTAATAAAGACTAAATAGATTTGCCGTAGTAATTATGCTAATCTCGTGCTAGTGATTAGTATTGCCACTAGATTTGCTTTAAATGAGGTAGAAATCTGCTATAAATCACCTTGCTTCAATAGTAGTTTTGTTGCAACAAACTCTTTCCTTTCTAAATTATGCACCCCAGTCCTTTGTGCAAACCTCTTTTCACCTGATTATTTTAAGTTAAACACAACCAACTTTATATTACATAAAGTTTTATATCCTGTAAACTTTATATTAAAGTTTTCCTTTTTCCTTTTTCATTCTTATTTCTCTATGTAGTGGGACCTATTTATCTTACTTTTGGTGTCTAATGTGTTTATTCTCATTAAAAAAGAGAAATCAGATGTCTGTTACTTTTACATGTAGATTGATTAAATAATAGTTATGCTTTAATATGCTTCATATCAGTTGCTATTTTAATCCTATTATATCTGTTGTATGCATTACTTCTGTTAGAGGAATTTTAAGGGAAACATGTTTTTTGATGATAACTTTGAAATTTTGAAAGCACCTTAGGGTGATTTCTTTAAGCTGACCCTGGAAGGGCCAGTCCCCCCAAGAATGTATATCCAATATAATTTTTTCCTTTGACCTTATCTCCATGGCTTCCTCTTCCTGTGTATTTAATGATTAATCTAATAGGACTGCCATTTACTTTTTTTCTGCCTAAAATAGACTTTCACTTATTTATATTGCAGACTTTACCCATCCTTTAAGGTCCAACTCAAATGCCACCTCTTCTGAAAGCTTTCTTAGCTTCCCTATGTAGAGATAGATTTTCTCAAATGTCACCTTATCTTTCCTTGAGAATGAACTTCTTGAAAATGGATAGAAAGTGCTTAGCTGATGGTG